CATTACTTATTAGTAGTTTCGTTACTTATTTTAAGGTTTTTTTTTTATTTTTTAATTATTTATTATATCATTTTAGAATTTAACTTTAAATAACCGGTGGTGATCATCACCGGTGTATAATTAGCCAATAACGATAAAACAATAAAAAGATTTCATTTCATTAACTTTAGGGTTAAGGCGAGGCCTGGGATTTTAACAAGGTGTTATATATATTCAAATTTTAGCAAGAAATTTTTTTTGTTAAAACGTCGAAGGTGGTTTCATAGACGAATTCTTGAGATATTAGCATTTTTTTAAGGAATTATATATATATACCCTAAGGTACATGTACCTACATCACGTGACCAACACATAATATTATGTAATCTATCTACTCTAACCGCAAATAACTAATCACTCAATTGCATAAATTTACACTATCCCTAACACTGTTCCGTAATCAGTCATATAATCAACAATAATCATAATAAAAAAACAAGACTTTTGCATCGCTTATTTAATTCGGCTAAATTGAATATATCACCATGAGTACCTTGTATCCTAATTTAGTAATAGCATCGCTTAGTTTAAAATTGACTCGTATATTGCTACGTATTAATCTACTTGCTATGTATAATAACTAGATAATTCATTATCTACGCACTACGCACGTATAGCTAAATTAAAAACACGAATGCACTAACAGTTAAACAATATATATAATTCAATTCATTTGAGCATACGTATAAACAATACGAAATATGCAGTTAATAAAATATGATAATGCGTATGGTAAAAGAAATTCTATAAACCAACCTAATACTAAACTGAAAAGGAACATTATATATATTCTCCCTAACTCTAACTATTAAAGGCTTTACTTATAATGAAAATTATTATAAACTTGCGTCCATATATTTATCTTAGTATACTTACATGTTGAATTTCTATTACATTATCAGCCATAACAATTCATTTTACTTATGCAAACTAATTAATCTGTGCATATTTAAATTCTTATAAACCCACCAAAATAAATTCGACGATAGTGCTTTAAGTCCTTTTTTATAATCAAGTGCATTGTTTCTGTTAGTTAATATGAATATGAAATGCCTTGTCGTTTATGCCATGCTTCGCAACCAGCTTTATTGTGTCCAGTATTTTGACACTGTTGACATTGAGTTGCTTTTCTAGTTTTTGGATTTTCTGAACATTGTTTAGTACTAGACACATTTTTGTTTCCTAATTCGTGTGACCCTTTAAACCTTTTTTTCCTTGGTGCACCTTTTCTTGAATGAACTATCGGATTTTTAATTGCTATAAAACCCTCATCGCTAGAACTATAATTTGATGTAGTATCATCGTTGTCTTTTAGTTGCCTTATATTCATTTTTTCTTTCTTTTTTGGAGTGTATTTTGTGATAAACTTGTTCATGAAATCCTCGAGCTCTTGTATTGCACTGGAACCAGCGTCTAATCCTGTTTGAATAGCCTTTTTTGATAATCCATTGACCATTACATATGCTTTTCGATAGTTAACTTTATTATGAACATCATTGTATGAAATGTTAGGTAAACAAAAAGATAAATCGGGAAAGGATTGTTCAATATGAACAGAGGTTTTCGCTTTAATGTTATCGCCTAATCCAATAATAAAGGGGTATTGTCTTGTTTGTGATTCAGGTTCAATTTGTTTTTCATCATTATACTATCTTTTTGAAATAAGCATAATGTGAAATGCTGCATTACTAGACACTGTCATGACCTGAAAAAAGTGCCTACATACTAAACCACATTGAGTTAAACCAAGGCACGTGCATAAATGTGATTTATTTTTAAACAGTACAACGTAATTTTTTGCTTTACGTCTGTGCCGGACGACCTCCCAAATTTCAAAAATAGATGTGATATCTGCAGACGGTACAAGTTCTCTAATTAAAATAGCAGGCACATCTATAGTGTCTTCAAAAAAAGTATAAAGAACCTCAGTTGTCTCTGATTCAGTTAAATCAATTGGATCAAATGGCTCATTTGAGTTAACTTGTTTAGTTGAATTAAAATGCAATTCCAAATCTTGAAAATTATCAACAAATTTCGAGGTATACCACATTGCCTGAGCAATTTCTTGCCGTTGCATAGATAAAGATGTTGGTGTTAAATATGAGATAAGCTATTGATTAATATCAGGTGAAAATTCAAAACTGGCATTGGTAAGTGTAGATCCCGTAACAGAATGTATCCAATTTTTGTATTGAATAAAAGTAGACGTGCGATTAATTTGTTCATCTATATGTTTGACAAGATTAATTAAGGATGTACCACTATTTACTGAACTCTTGATGATAGCATTTTGACCTTCAACACGTTGAGTTGACTGCATTCCAGCAGTGAATATTTTAGAAATGTAACAGAGGGCCCAACGTTCTTTTTCATTAAAAAGAGCATGGTTAAGATATGAGGCACTTTCAGGAAACTTTGTTAGAAGCTTATCCCATAAGTAATTAAATTGTTGGTGCGAAAGTGAATTATGCATTTGATACCAATTTTGGGAAAATTCATTATACCGATTTCCGAGCTTGCCTTTTAAATTTTTTATTAAATTTTGCCTGATATGGTATATGCAATGAATATGATATGCATTAGGTAATACATTAGCAATTGCAGTATTAACGGCAAGGTCATTATCAGTTATTATTGTCAAAGGAGAAA